CTCTGTTTTTACTCTCTCTCCTCCCCTCTTTCTCAGGTCTCCCAACATCCCGACGGTCAGCGGGTCGGACAGCTGCAGCCAGAGCACGGCGGCCACCGAACCGTGGATCATCCTCTACCGGCCCTCCACCATCTCGCTCTTCAAGAAGAAGCTAAAGAACCACCACGGCGACCTCAGCCCCCTGGTGGGAAACTAGCCCCCCCCCACCCCTCCCCCCCCCCCGCAGTGCTTTGCTGTTTCACCCAGATGCCACCGCCACACACAACGACTCCGTTCGAAGGCCGTCGGGTGTCATGGAAACTCCACGAGGTGCTAAGCTAACGAGCTAACGAGCTAACGATCGAACGGCTAAAGACAAGCTAAGCCAACGAGCTAACGAGCGGCTAAAGACAAACGACGCAAAATGGCCTCCGGTCAGGCTCAGGGAAAGTCGGGCGGGGCTGTCGGGGTCCCAAAAAACCCAGAAAGAGGACAACAGAAGACCAGATGGAGAAAAAAATAAGTAAAAATCTGCAACTTTTAAGAAACTGATAATGCAGGAGGCTGTTTGTTTCCACCCCCCCGCAGCGGACCGTACCATTCAGAATACCTCCGAAAATCCCTCCAGACTGCAGACTTTGTGAAAACGGGAGACGGACAGGTGCAGAACGGGAGGCGGCTTCCTCTTTTTAAGCGCACACATTCGCTTCAACAGCTTTTTACAACTTTCAACTGCCTCACATCTCACATGGATGACATTTACAGCCAAAAAAAACACAAAAAAAACACAGTCCTTTCCATCCAAAGACCCGTTCGTGTTTCTGCCCTTTCGGTTTTGTATGCGGAAGGCAAACGTCCCGTTTTTAAATGCGTTCTCGTGACATTTTGCTGACAAAAGCAGGAAACAGAACATGGAAACGTCACCGGGAAGGTAGATTTCACAGCACTTTTGGGGAATCTTTCGGGTTTGATGGTGTTCAAGTGCCTTAAGGAGCTTCTTTTTTCTTGCGTTCTGTCTTAAAGGCAACTGGAGTCCATCCCAGATATCAGAATCAATCCAAACCATGGCCAGTTCAAAATTTCCAAACAGAGTTTCATGCATACACTGAGGTGTAGAAACGATGTTGGTAGAAATGCTGATTCGGTGATTTCTTGCACAGTAAAACTCCACTTTTGGTTTTGCATTTTTCTGACATTACGGGTGGAAACGCAAACCCTGGTGACAGGAACGGACCTCTTCACGCCATATCAGATAAAGCTTTTTTTTCTGTTTTTGTTTCTCTTGCTTTTTTTTGCGTGTTCTCGCGTGTAGCCTCTGACATTTATTGAACATATTGTTCACCTTTACTTGTCGTTGGATTACAGGAGGACACGGGGCGAACATTGTCGTAGATGACGTCAATCAGTGTGGGAATCGTATTTATCGAGAGATGCGTTTAAGTGCTTTTTTAAAAAAAATAAAAATCCTCTTCTCTTACGGCGTTTTGTAAAGATGGCCGCCGACTCTTCTGTTTGAACTTGTCAGAGGGATTTCGGGCCAAAAGGTTGAGCGCAAACAATCCAACCCACCCAGACGGGGTCATAACCAAAAGCGCCAACGGGTTTCTGCTCAGCACTCTGATATTTGAACCAATTGTGAAAGGTTAAACGCACGAAAACGCACCCCTGGAATAGCGATCGAACATGTTCCTGTTGGATCTCACTCTAAAAACACTCCCTCAGATAGAGACATGAGCTCAAATCAAACGAACGCGCTTATTTTTGCATCACCTCCCAAGTGAAAACACTTATTCTGGTTTTGCATACAGTGGGAAAACTGAAATGTACCCATCAGAAACCTGAGCACTTGAAAAGGAAAGACTCTATCTGTCGCATGACTCGGCACTTCAGTTGAGACTAAAGAGGGAATATTTACATATTTACATTAATAGGCGTGAATCTGAGGGACTTCCTGGTTATTTTCCCCTGCAAAAAAGAAGAAGTTTGTTCAAATTTGCCAGTCTGTAACTCCTGATAATCATTGCAAAGCAAGAGAAAGGAGAGAAAAGTGAGCAGAGGAGGGAAAGGGATGGGAAATTAATGTGCGTTCAGATCCAAACACAAGCTAACAACATCTGACATTTGGAGTCTAGCGAGGGGCAAATTTGTTTGGATAGCCCAGTAAATTATGCACACTTCTTTTATTTTTATTTTTTTTGTCAGCCCCTGTAGTCAATCGGAAAAGGACCCTGTCTTTTAAAATTTTTTGTGAATGTCCATAAGTGCTCGATGAGATGAAAGTGACACCAGGAGCCCTGTGGGAAATCATCATAAGGGGCCAAATTTTTGTTTTCATGAAACTGTACATAGCGAAATAGTGAAAATTTAATTTATACAGTAAATTATTGTCATTTTGTATGTGAATGGGATATAATCTATCTTTTGTATAAGTGAAGTATCTTTGTAGTTTTATTTAATGTGTCTCGGTTGCGAAATAAACACTGTATGCATGTTTCTTAAGTCCGTGTTGTCCATGTTCTTTTGTTTTTTTTCCTCTCTGGACTCTCTCTGGAGTTAAAGTTGCCGAGAAACATATGGGTCGCAAATATCAGATTAAGTTAATCCCATTCTCCCTCGTTCCATTTGTTTTTTTTTTCATTCTTTTGGAGTAGAATAAAAGCAAAATAAGAAAACAGGCTTTTCTGAAATAGATCCAGGCTGGGATGCTTGCATGTTGGCACACGATAACTGCCTTTGCCTATTTTTTTCTTTCCTTTTTCTTTAAAACTCGCTTAGATAAATACTTATCAGATATGTGCAATGACTCCCAGATTGTGTGGAGATGCTCACACACACGCAGGAGGGTTCGGAGGGCCATGTGTAACCCATTGGCTCCCCTCTGGGAAGAGGTCAAGCATGCAACCTGCACATTTGAGAGAGAACAGCAGGAATCCATCTTTACAACTGGAACACCGCGAGTTTTTGTTCCTAAATGCAGGACACACATAAACTGGAACTCTCGGTTGTTTGTGGCGATGATTAGCTAATTCGAAAAAGCCTTCGCTTTCATCTCTGCTCTTCCTGAATCTGTTTTTAGTGACTGCTTTTGTTTTTTTGGAGGCTAGCAGCTGTTCTGTCTGTTTTTACTATTCCTTGTGGCCTGCCTAATGTATTTCTTTGGAGGAGAAATGTAATAGTCTAAATTGTTTCTCCGTGCTCTAAACAAACAAGAAAATGGCTCCTATGGAAATGCGTCTGCCTCTCATTTTATCTATCAGATGTTTTTTGGGTACACAGCATCTGAAAATTGAATTATCCGCGGTGTTGTTGACTAAACCGAATCTGAAAGCAACAAAAAACAAAAAAAAACGTTAAGAAATTCTGTTGTGAGCCTTTTTGTGGTCGCAGACATAAATTACTTGAGTCAGCCAAGACGCCAAGTTATTAACAGAAAACATTGCTTAGGTTTTTATGACACATTACAAAACAGATTGAAAACAGCAGGTGGCCCTCTGGCGCCCCCTAACGGCCGTTTGCTGTAACAGCAACACTTGGAAAGAGTAAAAAACAAACTAGAACCTGTTTTACAGAAAACTGGCCCACTGGTTTGGTTAGGGTTATTATTTATTTTATTATTTATTTATTTTTATTTATTTTTATTTATTTGTATTTACTATTATTTATTAGTATTTATTATTATTTATTATAGCATATATTCATATATTATGCATTATTATTTATTTTCATTTATTTTTATTTATTATTATTTATTATAGCATATATTCATATATTATGCATTATTATTTATTTTATTATGTATTTGTATTTATTATTATTTATTATTATTTATAATTATTTATTATTATTTATTATGATTTATTATAGCATATATTCATATATTATGCATTATTATTTATTTTTAGGGTTATTGTTAGGGTCATTTCAGTCCTACTTGCAACAATATTTTTTTAAAAGTCTGAGCTTTTCCCTCACTCCTGGACAATGTAAAAAATAAAAAAAACAAAGAAAAAGTAACACAAAGTGTGCAAATCCCCTTTGGTCAAACGTTCCCAAAGCTTAGCAAAGCGGTCCTGGGTAAGCGGATCCCTCTGAACCCACCTCTAAAAGTAATTAAGGCAACAATGTCACAATGGAGGGCCGGTTCTGGTTACGATCGGGCCGAGAAAACCGAGAAGACCTTCTGCATTCACACAGCCAGAAACAGACAGGAGAAAAAGGAGAAAAAGGCCCCTGATGGGTCTGAAAAAGATCCTTTCTGTGTTTGATCTGCCCTTTTCTCTGGAACGGGGCTTTGTGCCCCTGTGGTCTTTTGCCTTTCGGCGGTTTTCCGCTTTGATCGTTGTGATTTTCCCTCTTGTGTAAAGTTGCAGGTGATAAAAATGATGCACAAGCTTTTGGTCATTTAGGCCAGTGTTTTTCAACCTTTTTTGAGCCAAGATACATTTTTTCATTGAAGAAATCTCGAGGCAAACCACCAACCAAAAATGTCAAACAAATCTGTAGCCGCCTATAGTAACACTATAGTTATACTTATTATATTCTTATCTTATCTTAAGTGTCTTGAATAGGAATCAAATCAACAAAAATGTATTTTTATCCTATTTTATATTTCTTCTTTCAAATTGCACTTAACATGTCCACTTCAATATACAAAATTATATACAAAATCTAGTAATAAGTAATTATTACATGATTACGCCACCAGTCACTAGAACAGCACAGACACTCAAAAATGGCATATTATTTTCAGATAATTAATTCCTTATCAAAAAGTATTTTTAGACCAATGAGGTGAAATAGGAGGATTTTCTACGGCACACCTGACCATCACTCGCGGCACACTAGTGTACCGAGGCACAGTGGTTGAAAAACACTGATTTAGACAACCAAACAGGCAGAAATCTGATGATTACCGTCTGTTACCAGCTGCTCTTTAAAGATAGAGATCAAGGTTGAAGGTAAAAATTCTGAATAAAATCACTGGTAGTTACCATTAGCTGTAAGTATAGGAAGTTTTGCTTTTTTAGATGACAATGAGGACTAAATTATCTTAAGATACCTCATGATGTCTTAACTCTGTCACGTGAGCATCTGTTTATTAGGCAAAAGATAGAGATCAAGATTGAAGGTAAAACTTCTTAATAAAACCAGTGGAATGACTGGTAGTTACCATTAGCTGTAAGTATAGGAAGTTTTGCTTTTTTAGATGACCATGAG